TGTATGAATGAGAAACTGAAATAGGCACCAAGACATGGCGGGCAGAAAGCCCAAGGTAGCCAGAGGTCACGCATTATCTAGTTCTTACAAAAAGACGGTCACTGAAATTTTGTATTGAGAAATAAGCAAGCAAACAAAACCAAAAAAAATCTCAACATTTAAATAATAGAGGAATATACAGCAAAGGAAATTACAGTATGCCCGTATAATCAAATAATATGCTATTTAAAATCATACTTAAAACACTTTTAAATGCTTAAAAAATTGGGAGGAAATAAAAATGGTAAAAGAGGTTTTTTTCCCTTCAGAAGAGAATTACTGGTATTTTCCCCTCTATTTTTTATACTTAACCTAATTTTAAACAGTTAACATATATTACTTGTTTAATTAGAAAAAGGCATTATTTTGACATTTAATCCATTAGTACAGAATGGATTGAAAGAGAAAATGTCTCCCCCTCACAGTTATTTAAAAACTCAGCTTGGGGTTTACATTTACGTCTTTGGAAAGTAAAACACAATGGATACTTTTATTATTACTTAAGGCAAGCTCTGTCTCCTCTGTGACTTGGCGACCTTGGATGAAAAGTCCTTTCACAATAGTGGCCAGAGCCACACATTCACCCCTTTTCATTCCTGTACCTCCCAATCTAATGGAGAACTTCTGTGGAGGGCGGGGCGTTTCTCTATTTAGTAGATAGGAAGAGCATTTATGAAGTTATTTTTCCTGGGCCTCCCTTTTTTCTTCCATGTTGTGATATTAATAATTTGAGACCCTCTTTCTTCTACTGTAGAAGGCTAACAGTCGATTTCCTAAGTTAGAAAGGAAGCTAGGAAAACAGTTTGACATTCCTATTATAGGTCTTACTGCTGTAATTGTAACGACCCATACACAAAACTCTTCATTCACAGGTAAACATTGAGGGTCACTGAATTGCCATATTGCACCCAACCAAATTCAGGGGGTCATACAGGACAATCTGAAGTCCCTAAAGACACCATCTGTGCATGCAAGACCAGATTACCTGGCACTAGACAGAACATGTTTCTTCTCAAATGAGAACAGTTTCAGCTTTCCTTTATCTTTCAAAGTTATAGCATGGTTATCCTTAAAATTAAATTTTTAAGTGTCATTTAGTACCTTTAAAAAGTTCACTGCTTTATTCTACATAATTTGGTGAACTTGGCTCTTAAGGTAGTCAGGGGCTCTGTACCAACTTCAGTTTTAAGCAGAAATAACAGTCCTTTGAACGTGGTAAAACCAAAGGCACATTTGCAAATCCTTTTGAAGAAATACATGGTAGGAAATGTATCAGCATCCTCCTTTTCTCAGCAGTCTGTATGACTAAGTGGTTTCTAAACAATTGTATTGTAAAGTATCTGTTGTTTCTTATCTTTTCTCCTCCTCTTGACCAAAGGTGCTGTCAACCTTATCAAAATAAGATATAATGTTGAATTAATTAATTACCTGGATGATCTGGCTCTTTCTACGTGAACCTCTTAGTCACACTCTGTCTTTCCTGGGGGCCCTTGTTATGATTGCCCTGCACCTGTTGAGTCTTTACAATTTAAACTATGATAGCTAAGATTAAGTTTAAGCCCAGGCTAGGAATCTGAAAAAGCTCAAAGGATACATTTCCAACAACTCCCGGGCAGACCTCAGTGAGTGAGCGTGACTGCAGGAGGCAGGGAGCAGAACAGCCAAGGCCCAGCCAGACACGGGCACGGCCCCTGGCCCTGCCTGGCACTGCTGTATGATCTTGGACAAGTCACTTAACATGCCTGGGCCACTCATCCTTTTCTCATATATGACTCGTATTGAGATGTTATAAGCACATATGAAGTGCTCAAAGTATGAAAGTAATTCATACTTTTGATTATCAATCTGTAAAAATAGACAAAATAATTCTAGATATAATGCAACTATCACAAAGTATACTACACACCTACAGGGTTCTACAAATGTTATTTTAGGTTTTGTAATAATGAATACATGCTCATTCTATTCTGTGTTTAATATTACAAAGCAGGCTATTGTAGTCCATGTATCTTTTTTTTTTAGTGTAGAATTCAACCCTACCCCCACCTTAAATGATTGCTAACATCAAAACTGAAAAATGTGATGCTAGGTTTTGCTAGTCTTGTAGAATAAATACTCCATAATAGTTGGGTTTGCCACTGACAGAGCTATGAAATTATAGGGAAATCTACATACAGCAGACAATGTTCATGGAGAATATCAGGAGGGTCTGCATGGATTGTGATGGGTTTCCTCATAGCCCCTCCCCCACATGCATTAATAGCTGAGATAATTAATGTCTAATTCCTATATGCAATCACATATGTGCCGCTTATTCAAATTTCAGTGGAATCTTTTATATAGCTGGATCATTTCCATTTTAAAAGTTCTGTCTACATTTTGAACAGAAAACACAAACTGAGATGTTTATAATTATAAAAAAACCTCTCTTCTAAGACTCATTTAAAATCATTTTACTATCCTTTTGTTCTGGATAAGTCAGAGACTTAAAAGATAATGAGACATTTCATTTTTTAGTCTTGCATTTCTTAATTCTCTCAAAAGCATGAGGACCAGGGGTTGTTTTGACCTTTACACTCCCCTGTCGTGTCCCTACTTTAGAGTTAGTCGATTATGGAAATATGGAATCATTGCTCATTCAGGGCAAGGTGTCATACACATGCTCACTCCGAAAGAATGACAGAGCTCTGTATGTGTCCATCTGTCCAGAACTTGATAAAATTCATATCAAGAGCTGCATATTTTCAAAAGTCTAACATAGACCTACTTTTGCAAATAGGTTCATTTCTCTTCATCTTTCTTGTGCTTTGAAGCAGTTGGGGTAAAATGTTCTTATATGCATTACCCACATATGGCCAGGTCATGCCTTAGTTCACAAGTTCCATTCTTCTCACCCTGTACATTGTGCAAAACCATTATCCTTTGATGCTAGAAGGCAAAGCAAGGTTTTGAGAAACAAACAACCCCCCCATTTCTCCCCTCCCCCACTCTGATAAAATATCTCTACCTCCTGGTGCCTTTAACCTAAAAATAAACTGGCATTCAAGAAATAAGGACCTCAAAAACAGTTATTGATAAAACTTGCTTATGTGCAAAAAGATAACTGTTCTAGTACTTTGCTTATGTCAGCTATGGTAATGAGGTTAGCAATGTCGTAAAGATGAGTTTGAATTAATAGACCCACTAGGATAGATGATCTATATAGTTGTCTCTTACATCTAGCCACCCTTCTGAAGCTCAGAAAATCCTTTCCCTTACACTAAAATCAAATCCTTAGTTACACCAGCCTTGTAGTAAATCAAGGCAAATGTGAGACAATACTATGATATGCTTCAGGTCATTTAATTATGACAAAGAATACTCTTGTTTCCTCCAGTTATCCCTACATAATTCTCTCTCTCTCTTTCACATACACACACACACACACGTACTACAGTGCAGGGAGAGCGATCAGGTGTGCAGGCTGAGCTGACAACCTCTGGAGCAGCTCCAAGAAGATAAGTCTTAACAGAGTTAAAAGGTGCAGGTGAACATACAACACTTGACTCATTTAATGTGTGAAGTAGTGAATTCAGGTCTATGAAACCTTTCCACGGATTGTAGGAAATGCCCAAATTACCAGTTAATTACAAAAGATGGAAGGTGGGCAGGAAGGAGGTGGAGCAGCAGACAAGCCCTGGGGAATAGATAGGTAGGTACTGGCAGGTTACAGTGGCTACAGGAAAGATAAAACAGTTCAAGGAAATTAGATGGCTTCTAGACAAAGGTCTCTAGAAGATGGTGCTACACTGTGGATGTTTATCTGCAATAAAACTCGAAGTAAACATAGCTTACTATGTAGTTTACAATGTCATTAAGTATCAGGGAGCTTATAGAGTTGCAATCAATCAGAAGTTCTGAGCAAACAGAGACAAATCCAAGCAGATATTCACCAAAAGGTGGTGTCGAACCAATGGCCTTCTGAAAAACTGTTCATTTTTTAAGGCTAAAAGTGCATCAAAATAGGTGCACTTTTTAAATTAGAGACATCCTTTTAAGTCTCTTGACTTAAAGAAAAAGGACATAAATAAGGTGCTACAATACTAGGAGTGTTGCTCATTACACACCCGTGTTACACACGCGGGCCAGTTCCAATAACTGTGCATCAAGGTGGCAAGCTACCTGCCCATCCCTCTTCCTGGCCTTAAAATGCAACTGTTCCCGCTGGGGGTCCTGATAAAAAACGGTCCCCACAGGCTAAGTGCAGAGCACCAATACCCTGTGCTGGGGAGTCTGCAGCGCCAGTTTTGCGATGACGCCACATGGAGACCAGTGGGGAAAAACATAAAAAGAAACGGGGACGAGAAGGCAACAAACAAAAATGTACTCCCCTTTGTAGGGGGTCTAAGAGAAAACAACCCCAAAATCCCAAACCGGAGATGGTCAATGGTCGCTTATCAGGACACACTGGGGACACCTAATCCATACCTGGGCTGAAAACAAACTAGAAGTACCTGGGAAATCAACTGGGACACATTTTAATAAAAAAATCTCCTCATCATCACCATTACCATCATCATCATCATCAACCCCGGAAAAAAAAAAAACCCCAAAAACCAGCACCTGAACTATCAGAAACTACACTTTAAGTCCTGAGCTTTACATAACCTCAAATTACATAATATTCCTGCTGTGCACTAAAAAACGCTTCTATAGGTGAAGCGCCAAATCCCCCAGTGTTTTAACATTTTCCAGAGAGAGAGAGAGAGAGAGAACTGGAAAACTCTGCTGAATAACTGGCGGGGGAGGGAGGAAATAGAGTGCTGGAAAAGTCATCTTCGACAGGCTGCAAACCCAACCAAATGTTACAGGATAAAGAGGAACTCGGAGCAGGTGACTCCCTTCTGCCCCCATCCCACCGCGCTGGGGCGTCTGCGGCCGAGAGAGGCAGTGAGCGGGGCGCGGGGCGCGGCGGGGCTTACCTGCTCCCCGAAGTCGATGGCTATGTTGGTGATGCCCAGGGGCACCAGGAACCGGATCAGGGGCCAGTAGTGCGTGAGCGCCGGGAATTTCACCATAGTCCCCACCGTGGGCTGACCCCACACACATCTGCCGCCGCGAGGGGACTCTGCGGGGAGGCGCGGGGCGAGCGGGCCGAGCGGGCAGGGGCGCGGGCGGACGCAGGCCGGCGGGGCCTCGAGGCGGCGGCGGCGGCGGCGGCAGCGTCCTCTCCAAGTGCCGCGGCTCTAGCAGGAGATCCGCAAGCTCAAGTCCATCCCTGCTGCCCTCCCACACAACAAAGATCTGCCGGGAAAAAAAAGAGGAGGGACGGTGGCGGCGGCGGCGGTGGCGGCAGCAGAAGGTTCTGTTGACAGCGGCTCCATTATAAGCGCTCTGGAGCCCGGAAATAAATAAATAACCGCACGCACGAGGCGCCGCCGCCGCCACCACCGCCGCCACTGCGCGGAGGAAATCGGGGCGGGCGGGGAGGCGCGGACACCGCCGCCTGCAGCCCCGAGGCGGGAGGGCGATGGGCAGGGGAGGAGGCCGGGTGGGGGGCGGGCGGCTCCTTCCTTCCCTCCGCGGCCGCCAGCGCTCGGCGCGGCCGCTGGGGGCGCTGCGCACCCACAGGCCGCGGGGGCCACCGCCTCTCGGGCTGCCTTCCAGCGCCGCCGCCTCCGCGGCTCCCGGGGCGCGCGGGGTGGGACTGGTCGCGGTGCCCGCTGGCCCAGAGACGGTGGCGTGCGGCCCGGAGCCTTAGGGCGCGGCGGGGCTAGCTTGAGGGGCGGGAGCACTCAGGGGTCCGGAGGCCCCGAGGGCGGCGGGGCTCTGCAGTCCGGCCAGTCCCCGCGCCGTCCCAGGAGGGGCCAGAGAGTGTGAAAGACTGGCAGTCGCGGAGAGCGATACGGGCGCGCTGTGGCCGGGACGGAGTGGGCTAGGGTAGGGAAGGGCGGGGAAGGCTGCTCTGGGCAGGGGCTGAGGTCCGATTCGGGCCCACCTGGGCATCTAGGTACAGGGAAGAGACGGAGGTGCGGCTTTGGGCGTGCGATAGAGACCGAGAGAAGGTCGCCGCGGAAGGAGCACATCCAGGGGTGACCAGACCCGCGTCCCGGAGCAAAATGCGCAGTGGGCCGCAGGGACTGGTCCCAGCAGTCTCTCAGACCTGCCTCAAGCACTTTGCTAAGGGTCAGGCGAGATTCTTCTCAAGGCAGCGCTGTTGTAAAAAACGAAACAAACAACAAGAACAACTCAAAAGTCTGTTTCTTTTAAATAAACAAGGGGAAAGAGGGGAAAATCTTCTATAGTACTGTGGCCCAGTGATTTCAGAGTAAATACGAGCTGTGCTGAGTATTTCACCTAAAACTGTATGACAGCGGCGCCAGCATCCATCTCTGCACCCAGCACACTGTGACCGGAGGGTTTAAGGCCCTTGGTGAATGAGAACAGCTTTGCATAAATGGCTAATCTTTGTTTCCTTGGACCTTGGACCAAAAACTGCAAAAAATTGAATCTTTTAAAATGAGAGGGACGGGGGAGGGGAAGGGCCCCGTGCAGAGCCGGGCCGTTGTGCAGTCGTCACCAAGGTCCAGAGGGCCCTCTTGAAATTGGTAATTTTTGAGGAAGGGGCGGGGCAAAGTATGTAGCCTGTCCTATTGTTTCGCACTGGCCCAGTACAAGCATCTTTCCAAGTTTAATTAGCATAATGGTTTAAATAATTTATTATTAAAAGTAATGAAGTAACTTTGCACCTAGGAAGGAGTCTGTTAGCTCACATTTAGCTTTGTAAAGCTTGTGTCAGTAGTGAGCTTGAGACCTCAAGTACCTGGTTTCAGATATTTCACAATTATCTGAAAGTATATCACATATTTTCCATATTTTATGCCTTTTAAGAGACCTTTTTAAATTCCACACAGTGTGAACAAGGCCTTGAGAAACAGGAAACTAATTTATCTCGTGGCCCTGATGTAACCTCAAATTACATCCTCCATAATTAAAATGAAATTTTAGTGATTATTTATTGTGTTAAATGTGTCAAACGATATTATCGGAAAGGCTTCCCAGCAAAACAGGAAGTTCTCATGTGTAGGACTATCCTCAGTAGCCAATTCCTGAAAGCTGCGTTTGAACATAGTCAAATCTCATTTTAAATATACTAAGAGAACTTGTTATTTAAAAGAATTCTCTGGGAAGGAGTTCTTTTCTAAAGCAAATATCACCTATGGCTTACCCATTCTGTTAGTCTAGTTTTCTGTGGGCTCCATTTACCTACTGCCTTTGAATTACACTGACCTTTGTCTGGAATGTGGGTTGATGGCCCTGGATCAATCCTCATCAAGTCCAGTTTGCTTTGCTTGGTCCCTGGAGGAGGACAGGACATTGCTGCTGCTGACTGGTGCAAACACACACCTGTGATCTTAAGGACGCATGGTGAGAAAGTTCTAGTAAATCAATGGAAGATCATCATCCTCGTTTGAGTATTCTAAAAGTGTATTTTTTAAATGAGTGATTTAAGAGTGTCACCTTCAATCATGGCAAAGAGCCCTTTTTAGATTTGAAAGGCCTCCAAATTTCAATCACAGGGGCGACAATGTGGAAGTGGAATGAATGAGACATTTAATTATTTTTTCTATCAAAGAACCAAAATCAGATAACAGATTTCAAAGGGGTTTTGGGCCTCTCTCTTTCTCCCTCTTTTTAACTTAATAGTTTTTTTGAAAAGATCATGCCAGAATATGAGTGATGATAATGAATAGGAAGTTTTCTATCTTACCTAGAACCCCAAGAAATTATCCTAAAATCACTTAAATTAGATTCAAGGGGTGTTATCTTTCAAAGGGTATAGCTTCATCTTCAATTCACAAAGTCTTTAGATTAGATTCGATTGCTATACTCAACAGCATAAGAAAGAAATATGTACATATAAGAAAAATACTGAAAAACATGCTCAACTATTAACAGTGGTTAGAGATAACTACAGAGTATTATTTTCCTTTTATACTTTTCTGTATTTAACTCAATGGACATTTATAAGTATATAAAACTAAAAAAACCTTTAAGAATATTTACAAACTTCATCAGAAATGCAAATTAGCATTGACTTCAGAGCCCAGAAAAAGTTGCTCTTCCCAAAATAATTTTATAAATGACCAACAATATATTATTATTTTGATGCCTTAAATTATTAATGCCAATTTTTGAAGAAACTAACACAAAAAAGAGAAACCAAAAGTTACATATATGTCTGATTTACTTTTCTCTTGAATTGATCTTAAATGAATATACTGAAGTTTTATCTGCTTTAACGGTTAGAATAAAAAAGATCACCCACTTCTAGAACTCTGTAACCTCGGGAGCCCAACCACAGCAGTGGACACGGTCTGCAAGCTTTGTCCACTCAGGAGTGAGACTGACTTGATAGAGTTATCCACACTGGTCATGCAAAATTATCCTATATCATGTACTTGGTATAACTGACTCATTTAACACATAGTTTTGATGAACGATGTAGTCCTGGATATTGGTGTGTAGTTTTGGAATGAGTAGCAAACCCTCCCAACATAGATATAAATTCAAGATTTATAGTTCTACATCTGGGCCTGGTACAGTTTTACTATGTGGCTCACTGGGGATGCAGTGAGGGAAGCCTCTGATTCACTAGGCTTCATCAATAAATTTTTAGTCAAATAGGCCCTGGCTGTTATAGCTCAGTGGATTGAGCATAGGCCTGTGAACCAGAGGATCGCGGTTCGATTCTCAGTCAGGGCACATGCCTGGTTTGCAGGCCAGTTCCCAGCAGGGGAAGCACTAGAGGCAACCATACATTGATGTTTCTCTCCCTCTCTCCTTCACATCTAAAGATAAATAAATAAAATCTTAAAAAAATAAAATTTTTATTAAAATAAAAGACTAAAATAATTACCAAATAAAATAGCCTATTTCACTGTGTTCATATAAATACGGTCCCATTTGATGAAGCCATGATTTCTGCCCAGAGCTTCTGAAGAGCAGAGTTTGTTTCCTTGCCCCAACTGTTTGCCATCTGTGTGTCATTCCGGCCCAAGGCCAAGTTACAGCTTTTCTGGGCTAATTATCAAAGCCAGTTGTCCTCTCAGCCCATCCCAACCACTGGAGGCAGGAGGTGCGTGGCATGGGTATGTGTGAAGAGCAGGGACAATAAAATGGCATTGGTCCAATCAACATAGCATAAAATATGTAAAACAAAGTAGAGTCACTCACGTCAACCAAAATGGCTGTCGTCAGCCATGACATTTTGGTTCAAGTGGGAAGCTACCTAGGTCAGAGGAGACACTTGAGGAGATACCACTCTCAAGGTATAAGTGAGGCAGGCTCCAGACCACTGCTGAGACAGCCGAACTCCACACACCGGGGCATTGCTCCATGCCACACTGATCTCCCTTAGCACTGGCCACCAGAGGCTCTGCCCTGCTGGACAGAGGACTTTGCCTGCCCTGCTGCTCACCCAGCTCCAGAGATCCTTCCTCGTGAGATGCTGGCAACACCCTTGTCCACTGTGCTGTCTGCCAGACCTGTAGACTGAGAGTCTGGGACTTGGGTTTGTTATTCCCCATTGATTGCTGTCTGTGTCTGTTAATATTCCTCTTGGATTGTTAGAGGGTGAGTAGGGTACCTTGTGTGTGACTCTTGTCTATCCTTTGGTGCCAGGCTGCTCAGCAGGCAGCTAGCTGAGCAGTTGCCCAGATGACTTATAGGAAAGAAATTATCACGAACCTATGCTCGTGACAGTATATTATCCTGAAATTGAACATTTGCTATAGATAAGCTAGAATTAAGTAAATTCTGTGAAGAGTTATAGTCCTCACTTTTAATGACTCCTTTAATAACATACTTATTTTTACTTGAATCATATTTTAAAAGTAACACACAGATGCCTTTAAAATGTTGAGTTATAAAAAGAAAGGGGGAAAATCTCTACATGCTGACATGGAGCGATCAGCAGAGTATTTTGGTAACCGAAAAAAGCCAGGTGCCAAACTGTAAAATTGTATGCTAGTTTGGGGGTCAAACAGGAAAGAAATATGAATATGGTTGTGTATGCATGTGTGTATTGCCTTATATTCGTGAAAAGACACACCAGAAGTATAGTACAGAAATTATTTAAATTCAGCGGGGGAAGAAAGAGAACACCATGAAATAGAGATGGAAGAACTTCTCTGAATGTAACTTGCTCTCTAATTCTGGCTTCGGAAACATTCATGTTTTACATGTTGAAAGCATAAAGTTAAATGAAAAGAAAACAGTTTTAGACAACAGACATAAATGTCATGCTTGTCTTTTTTTCTTGTTTATTTCTCTTTTAATCTGGGAAAAGGATTTGAGGCAGCTTCTATCAGAGCACAGGTGTATAAATATGTGTGTGTGTGTATATATATATATATATATATATATATTAACCACTTTCATAAGTTTTGACTTTTTGGTAATTGCTAGAAAATAAAATATTTGGGGAGTCTCTTGCCTGG